GGGGCGCGCGGGAAGCCGCGGGAGCGTGCTGCACCGGCACCAGGGCAGCTGCACGGGGCCACAGGCCGGGCAGGGCCACACACTAGCTGTGACGCTGCAGGGACATATTGCACCTGCACAGGGCCACGGGCCAGATAGGGCCATGCGCCAGCTGTGACGCTGCAGGGACATACTGCACCTGCACCAGTGCAGCTGCACGGGGCCACAGACAGCTGTGACACTGCAGGAACATATTGCACCGGTGCTAGTCCAGCTGCACTGGAGCTCATGGGCCGGAGAGTTCCACGTGCCATCTGTGACACTGCAGGAACATATTGCACGTGCAGCTGCACGGGACCACAGACTGGAGATGGCCACACGCCGCCTGTGACGGTCCAGGAACATATTGCACCTGCACCAGTGCAGCTGCACAAGAGCCCTTAGGCTGCAGAGGGCCATGCGCCAGCTGTGAGGCTGCAGGAAGACCAGACTGGTGCTACCACTGGGCCACGAAGGCACCCCATTCCCCCACTTTGAATGACATTGCCATTGACCACAGTTGGCATCTTCAGCACATCATGCAAGTTCACTCACAGATCCTCAGGGCCTGACTCAAATGCTGCCATGGCTGGAATAGCACAGCAGGAACAGCAAGCCAGCGGCCCCACTCAGAGTTGTACAGGAGTCTCCTTCCATTTGCAGAAGCCAGATTGGTGGCACATCACCACCACGTCCAGTGCTGCTAAACAGTCCATGACTGCTCTGCAAACAAATCCATTTCCACCCTTCATCATCATTTAAACCATCAGCCCCTGCAAGGTGAAGTTGCAGCACTTTGCTTAGAAACAGAGGGTACTTTGGGATGACTGCAGCCTGATTTGTTTATAAATATAGAATTTGCTTCCAGAGCTTGCAATTTGGCATCTTTTACAAGACCTAAATATACTCCTAAAAGGCGTGAACTGCTTCCATAATAAAGCCTTTGAGAACTCTCTTGTGAAAATTCATTTCAAAATACACTTTGGTAGGGCAAGACAGTGTGTTCAGCACATTGGTATGAGCTTGTTTGCAGTGCCACAGTTGAATGCCTAGAGCAAGAAGCCCTGAGAGGCAATTAGTATAGGTGGGACAGCTAGCACTACCTGCTGCTAACATCACCTTATACGGGCCATTAAAAAGCTTGTAGTTTTGCCTAACTTTCACACGCTTAGGCTGGAATCTTCTGTACCATGTTTCTGCATCAGGCAAAACTTTTACAGAAAATTTCATCCAAGAGTTTCACTGTTTCTGAAAATAAGGTTCTGCCATATCAAAACCTTTATTTTGAATAACTTATTCAGAGGGTTGAAATTTCCATCAGGTTACTTTTTGATGTCCTCAGTTGTCTGTCTAAATTTGATCAAGTTCTAAGGTTTGAGGAGTTCATATGAATTCAGGAAAGATTTCTTAAGTTTAATAGCTAAATTCCCTTCAGATTCCACCCATTACAGGCATGTTCGGCTCAAGACTTGACAAGATTTTCAATGTAATTGCAAGTTGAGGCTGCTGAAGACTGCGCAAGGAATAGTTACCAAGAAAGAAAGTAGGTAGGCTGTGCCCAGCACTGAGGGGAAATGTCGGACTTTTGGTAGGTAGGACTGAAGGAGTACTTAAGCGACACACTAAAGAATAATGATTAAAATACTAAAATATAATAATTTAGTGTTGTGGTAATAACAGAAATCAACCACTAATTCCCATTTGAACTGTGCAAATATATAGCAAGCAATAATCCTTGCAAAGCCGTCTCTGCACAGAGATAAATTGCACTCGGACCATTTGTCTCAGGATGCTAATTAGGGCCTTCAAAGCATGGCAGTTGTAAGAAAAATCAAAGAGCACGTGCTATGCAAGTGATGACAGAAGGCCAGTCTTGTCCCTGACATTGCCAGCTCTCCAGCTCCTGAGCTGAAGCCCCCCGGTCTTAGTGGGGCTGGACCACGCCCTGTTCAGAGCATCTCTTATCATTTGTACACAGAAAGGCCGAGGCTGGAAGGGACCTCTGAAGACCTGCCCAGTCTAACCCCTTGCCAAAGCAGGTTACCTTGAGCAGGTTGCTCAGGACCGTGTCCAGTCAGCTTTTGAGTATCTCCAAGGGCGGAGGGGCGGAGAGCCTCTGAGCAACCTGATCCCGTGGCTGATCAGTCTTACAGTTTAAAAAAAAAAAAAAAAAAGGTTCTTCTTATGCTTACATGGACTTTCCTGTGTTTCATTTTGTGCCCATTGCCTCTTGTCCTGGCACTGGGTAGCACTGAGAAGAGTCTGGCTCTGTCTTCTTTTATTCCTCCCATTAGGTATTTGTGCACATTGATGAGATCCCCCTGAGCCTTCTCTTCCGCAGGCTAAACAATCCCTCTCTTTCCTTTTGTGACAGATCGGGGCTTCAAGCCCTGAATTGTCTTCATGGCCCTTTGCTGGACTCGCTCCAGTATGCTTGTGTCTCTCTCACACTGGGGAGCCCAGTCCTGGCCCTTGCACTCCCGCCATGGTCTTGGCAGGGCTGAGGAGACTGGAGGAATCGCCTCCTTTCCCAGCATACCAGCAATGCTCTTCTTAATGCAGCCCATCCCTTTTGAAAGGGCAGTTGCACCAACTCGTTCTCCAACTCTCAATGTATTACAGATTATACCATCTGAAATGATTTGACTATTTGAAGAGATATAAAGACTACATAGTTACCTTCTACTGAATGCATACATTTGAACTACTCTAGCCCCTCTGTCAGCCAGATAACTATTTTTAACTGAGGGGCTGAAAAATGTTATTAAAAACATGCAAAGGAAACATTGCACTGTAACTCCACAGAAATGGCATTGTGCTTTTCCACCTCCTACCTGGTGGCACCACCTCCTACAAGGGGCATGAGAGTGCTTTGTTGAAAAGCAAAGGGATGTCTTTCATAGTTTGTAAATGCATTCTGTGATAAGAACAACAAATCTTTTTCACGTACATCAATATTAGTAACGAATATCCTGCTAGACAAAATACTGTCTTAGTGATCCCTAGGCAGTCCCTCTGACTTAAGTGAAGTCTTAAGCGACCTTTTACACAAACACACCGATGTTAAATCTCCAGAAGCGCTGTGCAAATCCTACCAAAGGATGGTTACACCATGAAAAATAAGGCTGCAAATAAGGCATCTGCTTGTTCAGCATGTCTGTTCATTTGAATATGCTGTTATGCTTGCACAGTTTAATATATTCATTTTTGTTGGTTATACTTGAATGCTCTTCAGAGTAACGTAGCTACGGGGCAGTGAGGTGAATCCCATTCCTCCTGCACATCACTAGCACTGCTTAACACCTTCCCTGCAGCCGCAAATCTACTGATAACTGAAGGGAACTAAATTCTGCTGAGGATATTCCATATAACCCAGAGAGCCCAGCTCCCACACTGCTAGCACTTGCAGACTGGCAGGGTTAGAGCCACTTTGTCACTAAAAGAGTTTTAGTTGTGAGTACTAGCAGAGGGAACCTGTGATAAGTCAGCAGATGCTGCTTTTACCTCATCAGTTTTCAGCATAAAAGCACTTTATCAGCAACATGTTCAGTGCCATCGTCTGAGAATGTTGGCATTGTAGTAGGGAGAGATGTGCAGAAAGATACTGTATCCCTCAGACCCCTCCTCAGCATTAAATAACTTGCATTTCCTTCACGAGGCTGAACTAGCCCTCTAACTACTTAGGGTGAGTATGCCCCTTTTCAGTTTGAAAACACCTTTTTGCACATTGCCGGTTGCACAAACAGACACAAATTACCAGCAGTAAGCTTATGAAGCAGGATGCTTTGTAGAAGAAATGGATGTTTAGGGCTGCCAACAAGATCCAAAAAGAGAGCATTCTCTAGGGACACCATTAAAGCAAAGCCAACTGAATACAACAAATCAAAGAGTAACTTACAGCTTTTACTACGGAGCGAATACAAAGTCTGACATTTCCACCCACACAGAGCAGATCGGTGACTGGCAATAAGACAAAGCAGCAATATGAGCAACATGAGACTCCAGAGAAACAAACAATATATTTCTTCTGTCAGCAAAAATGTATGCTTCTTTTTATTCTTTTAATAAGACTGTCACCATATATTATCTACTTCTAGTTAAACAAATCAGAGTAGAGTTACTATTTTCATTATCAGTTTACACTAAAGATTATTGGCTGCCTTTGAGAGGCTTAAGATCTTTAACAGAGCCTAGCTATGACATTTCACTGTATTTTAAATTCTGTAACTTGTAAAC